AACAAACTCTACGCTATCAAGATTTCTTTCAACAAATTTCATGCTATCAATATGGGGGGGGGGGGGGTTAAATAAGCTTGCGTTGGGTAGGAAAATGTTCCAAAAACTATTAAACATACTCCTTCTATTGTATGAAGAATGCAATAGTAACAAATTTAAAAACAAATCAACATAAAAATTAGGATTTTTTCAAACCTCTTAAATAAATATGTCAGAAACACATATTAAAATGGACTAACTTACGAAGCCAAATATGTATCTAATTTTCATTAAAAGATTAATTGCTCTAAATGTTATTAAATATTTTCTAATCTATTTAAATTTTAGATTGTTTGCAAAACATTTAGTTAAATATTTTTTTTCCATAAAGATATTCATAAATATAACCAGTAAATAATAATGAAAACAAATTTTGCTCAAAAATAAATGCTAAACAAAAAAACCATCTAAAATATGAAAAAACAAAGTTAAAATAACTAAAAAACCACACAGGTTAAGTGACAGTCATATCTGTATCTGAAGTGGCATCTTTGATAGTATGAGTAATAATAAAAAAATTAATTAAAACATCGTATTTTGTGTTATTTCTGTCAGCTTATTCTATAAATAAAAATCATAACATATTTTTAAAATGTAAAGTGATATAACTCTTTGCATTCAAAATATTCAACCATTTTGCCAGCAGCAGGCATTCGACAGGAAGAGAAAATATCTAACTCTTGAAAATTGAATAAGTAGTATATAACAAATATGATGTTTTAATGAATTAATTATATATATATTTAATTATATATATAGATCCATAGATATAGATCTATACATATATCATAGATTATTATCAAATAATAACTTGCACGAATCACAAAAGAAGATATCACAGATACTTTTCTGATAGTCAATTAAACATGTTAAGTGATATAACTCATCGCATTCAAAACATTTAATCATTTGGCCTGCAGCCGGCATTCAACAAGAACAGAAAATATCTATAGCCTCAATGCGACTAACCCCACCAATTTCTGTACTTACCTTCACTGTTGGAAACATGGAAAGAACCGTTTCTTGAAGACTTTTCAATAAATGATCCCGCATCAGATTTTTTTTAAACAAACAATGATCTGGTTGTATCTGCTTAGTTAAAGCTGCAGCAAAAGCTACAGCAAATAAACCGCAATCATTTCCTCCTTTCTGTTTTTGAACATCCATTATTTTAATGATAATTTTTTTCTCAGGACATACCAAAAGGGCAGCAATCTGTTTTTTCCCTTGATCACTCAAAGAGTTCAACATGCTGTCATAAATAAAAACTTCATTCATTTTTTGCGCTCCTATATTGCTAATTGTAAACCAGTGTCCATATCCATCATGGAGTATCTGGATAAAACTATTTTTCATTGCAAGAAATGCCATATTTAATCCTAGAATAGGATCTTGGAAACCAGCTATTGATGACTGTGCCTTTAAAATATTCCGTGAGGCAAAAATTATGCTATCTGTTAGCCACTCATTCTCACTCCTAAGAATATTTCTTTCAATGGATGTCAACTCACACAAACTGTTTTTTATCCACAATACCTCCTTTTTTGTTTCTTTGGATGCAATTTTGTAGGTTTCCACCTCAATTGTACTTATCTCAATTCTCTGATCTTTATTGGATACATTTGTTTCATAACATTTTTTCTTTGCTGGTGTACAATAATCATGATCATGATTGTTGCAGAATTTTGAGGACTGCATTGGCAATATAATAGATTTTGAGGACTGCATTGGCAACAGAGTAGATTTAATACTAGATGTAAAAAATATATCAGATTTGTTTTCCTGGTCGCTGATGTTGCCTGTTGGATTTGTATGACTACTATCAATTTTACTACATTCCTTAAAAGAATCCGCCTCTGTTATTGCCACATTAATATCACAAGTAATGTATGGCTTAATGTGAGCACCATTAACCTTTTTTTCCTTTAAGGTGGCTATCTCTTGTAAGAGATATGACCCCTTTCCTAAATTTTTCAAAATACAGAAAGGTCCAAGCCATCTGAAATCTAGTTTTCCATCTTTTCGTTTTTTCCGCAAAAAATCCTTGATCAGGACTTTGGATCCAATTGCATAAACAAATGGATTAGCATGCTTCTTGTTATAATG